ACGCTTTGATTCTTGTGACATGCGACAGTCACAAGAATCAAAGCGTCAGTTATGGTATTGGGTGTTATCAACCTCCATACCCGAACCAAACTGAATATCATACAAAGTGAATCTTGCGCTGCATTAAGGTACATTGAGGAAGCTGTGATCCCATTCGCTCCGTTTATTGAGGACAACTTCGTGTTAACGCATCATAATGCTGGACCGCATGTAGCCGAGATGTCATCAATTTTATGGAGGGTGTTGGGATTCGTATGAATTGGGCAGCACGTTCTACTGAAATGAATGTTATAGGGGATAAAGAGTCGGGTTGTACAACGTCAAGAAGTTCAGCTTGAAGAATATGATTCACTCTCACAAAATGAAGTCCGATCGCTTATTTCCTCGATGCCTGCGAGACTTTAAGACACCCCGTGAGACTAGAGTTAATACTCGTTATTAAGAGCTAAAGTTAACTACCTCTTATAAAATGTTACTTAAATTTTATTGTATCACTAAAGGATTTTCCTGTGTTTTGGTAAATGTTCTTTCCAACCTCATGATTTTCTTATCTCGTTTAATTCGGTTTATAAAAAACATGTACCTTGTAATTAATATAACGATAAAAATACATATAGCTTTTAAAAAGCAAAGTAGCAAGCTGTTTTTTTTGTATTTGAATGGATAATAGCAGAGAAAGTAGATAATAGATAAGAAATAAAAAATATCTTTGTACTGTGTTTATTTTCAATTGACCAAGGGAAACAGCGTTTTGTTTTTAGGAAGTAATTTCAGTCATTACTTTCGAGGCCGTATACATTCCGTTATAAGAGATTACTCTAGTTTACAAAATTATTTTCAATTTGCATTTTGATAGGGTTACCCCATGAAGAATGAACATTTCATGAACCCCCCCTCCCCATGGTACGGTTTTGCTTTTCCACTAAACAGTTTATCTAATAAAACTTCACTGATACATGGTATTATTCTACGAAAACTATTTAACCATTTATTTTCCAACGTTGCCTCCGGGCAACTTCAAATTTAGCAAATTTGCAAAAGCTTAGCTAATCCCATGAGTTCAGAGCAGGTGCAGTGTTTTTTCTTCAATGTTTCATTCTGTGTATTGGCAACATTGATTTTTTGTCGCCGATTTAAAATCTACATCTTGAATTCATTTATCAACATGGCTCTTCTCGTCACCATTACAGCATCTATCGATTGTTATATTTGCCGAACATACAATTTTTCATATACAGTTTATAATTTAACCCTTTCTTGCCCTTTGTTGCTTCAGAGCAATGACAAGAAAGGTTAGCAGGAAATCCCCTGAATTTAGTGAGAGCGCAGCGTTGTTTTCTGTATTGGCAACAATGATTTTTTTAGCGCCAATCTAAACGTTCCATCTTGGAATTTTCTATCTTCGACATGGCTCCCTGCATCTTCTTTCGATTGTTATATTTGCCGAACATACAATTTTTCATATCCAGTTTATAATTTAACCCTTTTCTTGCCCTTTGTTGCTTCAAAGCAATGCCAAGAAAGGTTAGCAGGAAATACCCTGAATTTAGTCAGTGAGCAGTATTGTTTCTTGTATTGGCAACACTGATTTTTTGAGCGCCAATCTAAACGTTCCATATTGGAATTTTCTATGTTCAAAATGGTTCCCTGCACCTTATTTCGATTATTATAATTGCGAAAGATACAATTTTTCTAATACAGTTTATAGCTTACCCCCTTTCTTGCCCTTTCTTGCTTCAGAGCAATGCAGGAAATTCCATGAATTTAACGTGAGCGCAGTGTTGTTTCTCGTATTGGCAACACTGATTTTTTTAGCGCCAATCTAAACTTTCCATCTTGGAATTTTCTATGTTCAAAATGGTTCCCTGCATTTTCTTTCGATTATTATAATTGCAAAAGATACAATTTTTCTAATAGTTTATAGTCTTGCTTCAGAGCAATGCAGGAAATTCCATGAATTTAACATGAGTGTTGTTTCTTGTATTGGCTACACTGATTTATTTGACGCCAATCAAAACTCATGATTAAATAACACGGGATTTCCTGCTAACTATTTAACAAAATAGCTAAAGTTCGTTTTGCTCACAGTCAACACTAAACTTTAATGAGTTAAGCGGCAAATTATTAAACGTTTTGAAGCCAAAATTGAAACAGAACACGCGTTGGTTTGAGTTCTTCCCACCAGACAAAGCCGATTCTTTAGATTACACTGCATTTCAATTACAAATTCAGTTCACTTCAATGAATCCATTTTGAATATCGATTTTCATCGATTCCTACTTTAATTGTAAGCCGATTTTCCGCCGGGTATTTGCATAAAGGTCGTTATTCGAAAGGTGGTCGTGATCATTCAGAAAGGGTGGAAACCATCGAGTGAAGTTAACCGTTGTCAATATTGATACGACCGTCGTTTCTAGCACTCGTTCAAAACCAGCCTGTACTGAAATATCTAATATTTCTCATCTACCGGGTGGATTTAAAAAAAAAAATTATAGTACATTACAACTACCATCAAATACGTAATATATAACAATGAGAAAGGAAATATACAAAGAATTGAAAACACGAGTAAGAAAATACCTATTGGTATTACTCTGATGATGCCGTTTGGAATTAATTAACTTAATGGAACAATAACATCTATCTCTAGTATGTAATTAGTGATTGATAACCATTCGAGTGAACTAGACGAATTCAGGTCGGTTAACGATTTTATAACTTTGCAGCTTCCCTATGAAACGCGGCCTTGCAATTACAAAGGAGAACATCTAATAAAGCCAACGAATAACAAATATTAACATCATTATAAATTTAAATGAGAAAACTGGCAATCTCGAGTGTATTTAGGATGTTTTAGCGGTCCGGCATTCTTTGATCTGCCCCAGGAGAATGGGTGCTTTTTTTTAAAAGAGTTTACTCGGGTCATTTTGGAAAGATTAGACTTGGCTGCCGAACCCCCCTCGGGACTTTGTTCTTACTTAGGTCAGATCAAGACGATTACCTGTTGATACAGGTTAGAGCAATTTCAAAAATTCCAAGCCTTGTGTCCCCTGATTAAGCCGTTATTGAAATACTGAACTTTTAATGAAAAGCTAATGAAAAAGATCAAAAGGGATTAATTGCCCTGCTTACCAAAGAATATCCTCTTTTACAGGTTTTGGTCCTTTCTCCCCCATTCACTTGACGAGCTTAATTGGACCGAAATTGATTTTCTTGTCCATCTCGATATTTATATTTTCCAATTAATCAGAACCTAAGCGAAAAAAGATACTGCCAATAATGGAAAATTATCTGAGGTTACAGTTTTCCTATTAGATTTTTAGATTTTATTTACACCCTAAAAACCTTTGTAAAATTATTTAATTAATTTTTTTACAAGTAGCCTATACATATTTAAACAAATGATATCACAATACAGCACTAACACTAATGCCAGCGCTGCACCAGGAGGACACATGCCAATGCTGCCACTCAGTGTGAGGAAAGGACATGGTGTCGAGGTCATCGTCAATTAAGGCGACGTGGCAGGTTCTCCGAATGGGTATGTGCAGATACAGCTCGAGAAATAAGGATCGAGAGTTTGTTGTAAAAAATTTGGAAGCAGGGACGGATATTTCGTTGAGAAATGTAATGTTGAGGTAGTAAGGAACTTTTTTGACGATTCGTCTGACTTTTTGTTGGATGGTTTGGAAATGCTGGATGTTGGATGGCTTGGTTGAATCCCACAATTCCACGGCGGATGGCCAAAGTGACCGCAGTAGTCTTGTATAAGGTTAGTTTACCCTAGGAACTATTTTATCGTAAGTTTAGCTTAATTCCTGTCAAATTTAACGACCGATTACCCATTCAGTGTTGAGTATTAAGCATAAGCAATAATGCATTCACCACTTATTCCTGAAAACCTCATGGACAATACTGTTGTGACCATTCCCTTCTAAATTTCCTGCATAGGCACCAATTGCGACGAAAGTTCCCAGAGTTTCTTGTATATATTTTAAGGATAATATGAACACTAAATACAAAATGCGATCTGACTTATTCGATGGCTAGGTATGACACTGGGTTTACTGTGGAAACTGAATAAGATCCTTCCTCGTACCTTTTACTTTATCCTCCGAGCCTAGTTGACAAACCGATATTGCCCTGTCTGGCAAGGAACATCCCCTTCCTCTTATGTTCCGGTAAAATCTAGAGGTCCCCAAGGAAATATCCTTTGCATGTTCCTCTTTACAATATAAAGTGCTGATATTCGCACTCCCCAAAACTCAATCATCTCCATGCTTGCTGACGGCACGACTATCCTCTCTTTTCACTCTAAACCAGCAGTTGTAAGCTACTTTCTTCAAAGTCACCTTACCCTATCACAAAGTAGGTACCGAATTGGAGAATTTAAGTGAACGAAAGCTCATGTGCTCATGTTGATTTCGCATTGAGAAAGTCACATTGCGCTCCATTACTACTGAATACAGTACCGACTGCTGATATAGTATGATACCTGGGACATCGTTAAAAGACATGGACGACACACTCGCCTGAAACGACAAGACATGAACCGACGTTACTATTTCTTACTGAGACTCTCACCGCAACCTTAACAACAAACTGATTTAAAAAACTCTCATTCTTGCGATATCGACCAACGGAGTGGAAGTTTGGGGCTTTGCCAAACATTCAAATCCATCTCCAGCATCTTCAACCCAAAATCCTAAGAAAAATCCATAATGCTCCACTGACCTCCATATTCCATTCGTCCTTGTAAGAACACAGTATCATAAATTACACAATATCCTTTCTGTACACCCAAACCTCTTCGTCCAACAACATTCCACACTACCTGGAAATCCTACACGTCTAGGAATTTGTGTATGTGTGTGCACTGTGAGGGCGTGTCACCATAGGATGGCTTCTCCCATCATTTTCAATTATCATGTTATTTTAATGGATTATGAAGTTAACGTATTGCCAGTAAATTTACAAGGTATTATTATTTAAAAACTTACTGAGGGTTTGGTTGGTCGCTTTGCCGTGGTCGACCTGACCTCGGAGGGCTCGTAGTTTGCTGAGTTTGAGCTCCTGGGCGTCGACGCGATCCCTGAGCCTCCGGAGTCTTTCCGTCTCCTGAGCGACTTGCGCGTGCCTCACCTCGTGCTCTTTGAGGTACCGGAGCCTCTGCTCCTTGGCCACCAGCAGCTGTCGTTGACTAGCCATCTCCTCCTCCTGTCGGACGGCCATCGCTTCCAGCTCGACAACCGTCAACTCCACTCCTCCGCTCCTCACCTGAAACACCAAGAAGAAACGTAAGCGACGGCGAGACCCACCCTAAAGATCCAGGAATTCAAAACGGTGAAAGTCGAACGCACTGTCAAAGTCCAAGGACTTCTCGTTCCTTCAACACGGCGATACGTTCTACGATACGGATTATTGTAGCTGTTGTAAATTAATCCATTATCGAAGTAAATTTTGATCCTTGTTCTCAAACGGTTCGCTACTAAGTGGACCTCTAGAAAAACCTAATGATTGTGAGAGTGAATTTGTGCAAATTCGGTGCCTCATTTTCGATTAGAGGTGACGTAACCGAACTCCTTTAAATGGAACAAAAATCGTGTCAACAAAATCTTAGATACGCTTGAAATGCCGCACACGTGGCTTCAATTGCAAAGCACGTTTTCACTATGGATTGAAGTCCTTATCTTAATTAAAAATTGAAAAACTTTCCTGTGATTATGGTGAAACATACTCAAAAACCCAAAATTCACTTAGCAAACATTAAGATTTTGTTACTTTTTCGTTTCCTTTGATTTTTTTAATGAATTTAATTTTTTTTTATATTAGGTGAACCAAGGATTAAAGTAAAGCAAAGTAATTCTTGTCATACAAGAGAGCGTAACGTCCAACTAACCACCCGCTGGGTGTCGCGGACAAGGGGATCGACCATGGGCTACGTTGGGATTCGAACCCAGGAAAGTAAGCGAGGTAAATACGAGGGTCCAAGCTAATTCAGCGCTGAGGAGAAAGAATTTGTATTGTTTTGGAAAAAAAACTCATGTGGCTAGTGGCTCTGAAAAAGATCCAGCTACCAGTGGTCCACACCAGCTATCCCTGATCCCTAATCAAAAAAACCCTTTTTGAGGAGAGAGTTAAAAAAATGTTATCTGTCATGGAAAAATGAAATCAAATCAAAATATTTTATCTTGCTTTTCTTTTTGTTGTATATAGATGAGAATCTGGATTATAAAAACTTCGCAAGCTTTTCCAACTTTGGACCAACAAAAAGTTGGAAAACCTTACGAAATTAAATATTATAAATAATTTGAAATATACAAATCAAATAATTAATTTAAACTAAAAATTATATTTATTATATTTATGATATTTTATAAAAACAAATAAAT